TGACCCCAAGCAGCATGGTAAGAATTCCACCTAGGATGGGGATGCACACCTCCTTTACACACCGTGAACTCCTTCGTTGGCAGAGGGTGTACTTTATTACCTTTCTTTATTTTTCTTTTCAATTATTAAACTAATTTTGCTGTTTGTTGTCTGTCTGTTTTCTATTATTAGTTTTTCCTTTATCTTATTTTTCTTTTCCTGTTGTTTGTTCTTGTTTTTGTCCCTATGAAGAAAAATCTGCTAGAGAAACAACCAGACAAAAGAACGAAAAAAAATTGAAGAAAGCCTAAGAATTATGTGGGATACAAGTGAGGAGAATAATTTACACGTGATTATATTCCAGAACAGGAAGAGAAAACAAAAAACAGAAAAATTTCAGTCATCAGAAGAAAAGTTCTTTACCATTACAGAAAATATGATGTGTATTTGAGAAGCAGAATGAACCCCAAACCAGGTAGACGCCAAAAGAAAATCACTAAGACATCATACTCCATCAAAATCACTAAGACATCATACTACTTAAAACCCAAGACAAGGAATGACCCCTAAGAAGAGGTTGGAGAAAAAACCGCAAATTACCTATAAAAGAGAACCAGTAAGATTTAAGTTCTGATTTCTCAGCAGAAATAAAAGAATTCCCAACCAAGAATGATATATCTAGCAAAATTGTCCTGCACATGGTGAAATTAAAACATATCCAGATAAACAGAGCCCAAGGAATTTTTACAAAGCCAAACCATCTTTGTAAGAAATGTTATGGGAAATTCTTCAGTGAAGTCGATTTCAAGAACTTGGGGAAAGTGAGGAAGGACACGGAAAGGAGTACAAAGTTAAAGGCAACAGAGGTAAATACCGCCATGTATACAACCCTGCAGTGACAGTGACCTACAGTAGATGCGTGGATAGACACATGCTTGAGTGGGTAGGAGAGGGAAAGTGGGAGTACACACACAGGTTTGATAGGATGTTTGTACATGAGTATTTGCCTTTGGTGCAATTCTATCAGTGGCTGCGATGAAGTATACAGGGTTCAAAATGATGAAAAATTATAGGTACCTTGTAGGACCGAGTCACTAGGCTTGGAGGTCGGGGCCATAGTCTTGGGACCACCAAGGTCAACTGGCAGAACATACATTCTCCATCCTACTTTGGTGAGTAGTGACTGGGGTTTTAAATCATATGAATGACTATTAAAGGTACAACTATTGGTCTTTCCATTTCTAGAAAAAGATGAAAATTAAAGACCTTTGGAGACAATTAGTCCAGTGGCCTAATGGACCATGTAAACATTTCTCTCCACAGCCCTAAAATAAGAATTGCTAGATGGTGCCCAGCTACTACCACCAATTACTCTGAAAAGGATCACATTAGAAAATCTGGATAGAGTGGGAGAAGTATGTGGAACAAAACTAAAAATCATGAAGGAGACTAGGCTTGCTGGTTTAATAGGGACTGGTGGAACCCTTGAGACTATGGTCCTTGGTCATTCTTTGGGTCTGGACTGATCTTTCCCCTGTGGCTTAGTTTTCAGCTAAACAATAGGTTGATAAGGAAACTAATAATACTATTGATGTGTGAACACCTTGGAATAATTGACCATTTATGATCAAAAGGGCAGTATTTACCCAAGGACAAAGCTCAGTAGGGTTAGGAAAGGAAGAAGAATGGGGACAGATAGCAGGGAGAAGGTAGGATGGGTGATTACATTGAAGGGGTTGCAATAAATAAGATGAAACTATATGAATCATTTGATTTGCTCTGTAAACCACCAAATTTACAGTAAAAGTTTTTTAAAATGTGCTTTATATATCTGTCAGATATATCTGTATTCTGTTTCCTTCCCTCAAGGAAATCTGAACTATTTGAAAAAATACAATCAGTAAATATGAGAAGGAACCCCCCGCCCCGGCAAAAAAACAGGAAAAAATACTTTTTTTCAAAGCTATGTATATAATTTTTTTTACAAAACAACTTTATCATATTCAAAGTATTCTCTATTACATTTAATACATTTGTCAAATCTGCCATTCCATTCTCGGAAACATTTTTCAAACTCATTTGTTTGGATGACTGACAGCTCCTCCCTTGTTTTTTTCATCACCTCTTCTACATCTAAAAATCACTATCCTTTCATGACCTTCTGCATTTGCAGAAACAAAAAGAAGTTACAGGGAGTGAGGTCAGGTGAGTAAGGTGCATGGAGCAAGATAGGCATGCTGGTTTTTGCCCAAAACTGGTACACTGAGATGGCTGTGTGAGCAGATGCATTGTCAGGGCAAAACCAGTCCCCCTTCTGTTATGAATCAGACCTTTTTTGTCGCACACTGTTATACAATCTTTTCAGAATCTCTAAATCAAAAGCTTGATTAACAGTCTGACCTGGTGGAACAAACTCCAAAAGTACTACGAGTTGACATTTTCATCAGTTCGGGAAATTGATGGACATCCAGAATGAGGTTTGTCATCAATCAACATTTCAGCTTTTTTGAAACAAGAAAAGAAAACATACACTAGAGTTTTTCCCATAGCACTGTCTTTATAAGCTGTGTTCAGCACCACAACAGTTTATGTGGCATTTTTCCAGAGCAAGAAACAAAATTTCACAGCTGCACACCTCTTAAATTGGCTATTACAAAAAACAATGTTCTAACAAAACTGCTTTTATGAAAAAATTCCCTATGACCAGAGAGAACCTTCCCAGAGGACACCACTGGGTGCACTAACAGAGCGAGTTGCTTGATGCTTGTCTAACAATGCATACTACAAAAGTTTTGCCCAGTGGAGCTTTTTTCAAGTTTTTTGGCTACCCCCTTGTATATAGATTTTGAAATTTCAACCTACACTATATAAAGTAATTATTGTATTTAGCATCTATTACTAGAGTGTCACACAATTTGTAAAATTTCAGAGGAAAGGAACTTTATGGTTTGCAAAACCCTTTTGTTTTAATCAGGAGTCTTAGAATCTATGTTAGTTGGTTCTAGAATAAAAACCAGAGTCTAGTAGCATAAGCATAACTCTTAAGTGATTTTGATTGTTTCCCCCCCACTGTTAGAAGTAAACCAATTGTAGAGCCCAGAAGGAGCTTAGAGTACAACTAGCCCAGGTGTTTTTAATCGTCAGGATTTATGGATAGATTTTAGAGGCTTAAAATTCTCTGAAATGATATGCAAAGCTGTGTTTGCATACAGTTTTGGAAGACAGCACAGACAACATTTCAGTAAATTGTCAAATGGATTAATGATTCAGACAAAATGCACTGATCCAACAAAAGCTAACTAATAAAAGCTAGGCTTGAAGATTCTTTAAACAAAGACTAGAGAGTGGCATTTCATCTTATTCATTGCCATGGCAGTAGTTTTATAACTTGCTCAGGCCCCAGGGTTTTATTGTCTGGAGAAAAACACACAATGCAAAGTTATATACCTGTCCAGCTGGATTGGAAGACAGCAAACTTCTTGCAAAATATTTGTTCTATTCTCTTTCCAAACACAGGATGTATTAAAAACTATTCAATTTTATCCTTGTGAAACCTGCAGTTGCCAAGAAACCACATGGATTGGAGTTCCTTAATCAACACTTTAAGCACAACAGCGTTGTTTTGATTTGATTTTAAATTATTGATTGAAGAGCTTTTGGGACTCAACCATGCATTGATATATTCATTCAGATATTTATTGAGTGACAGGCTTGGTTTGCCTAAAGAAAAACAAGCAGTCTTTCGAGTTCTGAGTCTCTGGGTAGAACAAATGGTTTAAGTGCTAGGCTACTAGCTGAAATCACCCAGAAACACCTTAGGGTGTCTGCTTTGAAAAGGCTCAGCATGAAAACCCTGTGGAGCACAGCTGTACTCTGACATATACTATATGGGGTTGTCATGAGTAACAATCGACTCAATGGCAGCTCTTTATTTTTTAATGGTGGCAGTAAAGTAGATATGCCACCTCACTTCTACCGCCACCCCCACCCTGCCATCAAGTAGATTCTGACTTGTGCAGCCCTTAGGGTAGAGTAGAACATCTCCTTAGTGTTTCTGAGACTAAATCTTTTTCTTTAAAAATACAGTTTTATTGGAACTTTGTCCACCTATCAAACAATTCAATAGATCAACCATCTCAAGAAGAGTTACACAATCTTTACCGCAATTTTAGAACAGTTTCTTTTTTCCCCCAAACTCCTTGTTATTCGTGTATTTTTGCTTCAATTTTGGCAAAAATATACACAACAAAACACTCACCAATTCAACAACTTCTACAAGTATAAGTCAGTGCCATTGATTATACTCCTTATGTTGTACCACCATTATTATTATCCCTCTCCAAATTGTCCCATCACCATTAAAATGAACTCAATGGCCCCTAAGCAAACACTTCCTCCTTCACCCATGGTAACCAGAGGTCAAGTGTGGCTTATTTTTCTTTTTTTTCAGTAGTTTTCTTGATATAATAATCATATATCATGCACTTCCATAGTTAACCCGCTTCTAAAAAGAGTTGTTCAGACATCATCACAATCCGCTCTAATGCTCCCTCCCCTGTTTCCGCACCCACTGATTGCGCCCCAATTTTCCTCCCCTACATCCCTTTCCCAATAAACCATTGCATCAGGTATTGTCTCTATGCATCCACTCCTGCTGTGCTTCCTAAACTGGGAGACCTAACAATAAAAAAAAGAGAAAGAAGAAAATAATAAGTTTAAAATAAAGAGTAAGAAAAAAACACCAAAACCAACAATATTTAAAAAGCCAGAGAAGAAATTTCTTTCTTGGAACAGTCAAGAAATATTTGAGCATAGAGCAAATCAGGTTGCATCAAAAGAGAGGTCAACTGGCCAAGTATCACATTATGCCATGGTTCAACTCACCATAATCAAATTTATAAAAATTTCTGATAGTAAATCTATTCATCATTCACTTGTAATTACAGGGCATCTGCCAGAGGCCCAATCCCACCAAACACTCAACAGATGGATTTTGGGCCATGGCCTTCTAAAAACTGGGTGTTCATAATGTAAGCTCTGATACTCTTCCCTTTATCATAATTGGATGTTGTTATTGCCATCTGTGGATCACAAGTGCTTCTTCCCTGTGGACTTAGTTGCTGCCTCACTTCGATGGCTGCTTGTTTGAACATAGACCTTTAAACCCCAGACACTGTTCTGATGGATAGCCGGGCACCATCTGCTTCTTTTACCACACTTGCTGTAGCACCCATCTTCAGTGATCTTTCATGAAGGCATGTATTGAGCAGGGCCATGTTTTAAGAACTAGCTGTTCTTGGATTAGAGCTAGAATTAAGTGGAAGGCCAGAATCCATCTGCTTGTCCCCTGGTTTACTTTGATGATCATATTATGACTAAAACAATAAGAGAAACCAGAACCAACAAGATCAACAAAACATAAAAAACCCAAAAGAAACAAAAAAGAAAAACATACTCAATCATCCCCTTAGGGTATAAGGCAATTGCATTGATAACATCAATAACTTTCCAGTGACATAGAATTTAAGGTACTGTTGATATGAGTTTATGCAAGTATAGTCCAACTTTGAGCTGAAATCCATTAAATGCTGTTCTATACAGATTGATTTTTTTCTTTTCTCTTTTTTTCAGATTGATTTCTTAATTGATTGACCTCTGTTTACATTGACCATGGGGAGATTTTCCTGCATCATCTCTTACAAGGGCAGACCCTTGCATCTCAGACCAAAAGTTGTCATATTAATGCAAGGGAAGCATTGAGGCACTACATAATTGGTGGTTCTGGGTCTCCTTTCATTGGATATCCACTAAGCCAGGGATCCCACCCAAGGTCCAATGATTGCCATTTCCACAGTTTTGTGGTGGCAATCCCTTGCATCC